TCTGACTATGCAGATCCACGATAAATATAATCATAGGCATTGAACAAGGTAAAAAGTGGATATAAGAATTAACTGAAGGTTGGGGATTTAGCTCAGTGGTGCTTCATAAGTGCAAGATCCCAAGTTCAACCCCCAGTACCCCCAAAAAATTAACAGAAGACACCTGCATTTACAAAATTTAAAATAGCAACAGTATGGACTCTAAGTATATACTTTTTAGAAAATCTTTAAATAAATTTAAAAGGCAACGAGAAAACAGCTAAAATGTGTTCAATCCTTACTATAAACCAGTTAGATTCTTTACAAATTTTCCCTAAATCTTCACAGCAACTGTCTTGAGAAAGTATTATTTTCCTTGTTTTATTGATGGGAAAATAATCAAGATTTTAAAAACTGTACCCAGAATATAGAAAGAATGCCTGTAATTGTTTTAAAGTGGTAATATAACCTCAATAGGAAAACAGGGGCCAGGTAGTTAGGTCAGTGGTTCCTGCGCCTGCCTCACAAGCCCAAGGACCCAAGTTCGATCCCCACCCCCACCCCCCCACCCCCGGTACCTAAAAAAAAAAGAAAAAGAAAAATGGATAAGATACACTTTCCTAAGATATGCAGAAAGCAACCTGTTCCAAAGGATAAGGCAAATTAAAAATCACTCAGACACTTCTACATACCCATAAGAACTAAAATTTAATAACAATTAGGGACCCATATAAGGAATTCCAGGTAATACATTTAGCATGAACCAAAGGAAGACTATCAAAGTTGGGTCAAGTGTTCATATAAGTAAATACCAAGTAGTTTCACTCTGCCTGGTAACAGAGATATATGAAAAAAAGTAAGTGTGGAGAGGTAATCAGAAGTTAGATACTTGAAAGCCTACAAGGCTAATAATATAATGACTCGGAATTTGGAAACACACTGTTAGGCAATTTCATCATTTTGTGGACAGCTCAGAGCACACTCAAACTGTGACACCACCTGTTGCTCCTAGGCAGCAAACTTGGAAGCATGTCACTGCACTGAATGCTTTAGGCAACTGTAATACACTGTACACACAGCAGTATTTGTGTGACTAAACAATCTAAACACAAACAAGATACCACTGTAAAAGGCCATGGGAACTTTTCAGTTCCTTTAAAATCTTACAGGACCACCTTCTTACATGAGATCTGTCATTATGCAAAGCACTGCCTACTTGTTTATTAGGTTAAGAAAAGCAGAACTATGACATGGATGACACAATTTAATTGATCTTTACATAGAAAGGCTGTTTTTTATAGACTATTCCAAAGGGAGAGGACAAATGTATTTTCAAAAATTTTTCTTCCCTGCAATAAATTTCCCTATCTTCCACATTTTAATTTTACCCTACTGCTCAATCATTTTTCCAAAATCTCCATCGAGACTCTTCAGCCTAATCACTGTCCCTACGCACTGCCAGCACATGAATACCATCACGTGAGAGGCAGCTCTGAGCTCTTTCGAGGATGGCCTGTTATCTGCAGTGCTCTTCTGATTCCCCCGTGTTGCTCTCAAATTAAACCCAGTGCTCCTTTGAAGATCCAGCTGATACTTCCTCAACCCATGATTTCTTTGCCTGTTCTAGTTTCCCTCAAGACACTGCGGGGTTCCTCTATGGGCTCTGTAATACATAATGCATCGAACTAGAATCCATCTTGTTTTGTTGCTATCCAATGAGACCCTGTACTCCGGAATGAAAACATCATACATTTCATTTTCTGTACAACCCACAGCACCCAGTGCCAAGGATGTGTACCAGTTACGTTAAAGCTCCTCTTGATCCTAGAAATCCAAATATACCCTTTTACCCAGCAACTCTATCTTTAGAACTTTATCCTATTGATACCCTCATATGAAGAAGCAAAAACACTATCAAATATGTTGCTGAATGTAAGAATAAAAACTTAGAAAAAAAGTAAATGTCTATTAAGAAAGACTACAGTCTATGTTGCCCATTAAAATAAAAAACTTGAGATACCTATGGTCCACAAGTACTTAGCGAAGAAGTTGCAGAAAAGTTACAATTTGGATCTTGTTTTTAAATTTTAATTATTTATACCTACATACATACACATAATTTAGAACAATACTAAGGGTATTTATTTTTGGTTTTACTGGTGGTTTTGTCTTATTGTTACTGTTTAGTTTTGTTTTGATTTTTCTTTTTGCTAGGAATTGAACCCAGGCCCTCACATATGCTAGGCACATACTATACCACTGAGGTACAGCCTCAACCACCACAAATTTTTAAGGGTCACCTCTAATAAGTATAATGGGCTTTTTATTTTCTATTTTATCTTTTTATCTATTTTCTATTTTATATTCTATTTTGTTTGGGGGAGCGGAAGGCACACAGAACATGTTAAGTATTTTAACGATTGCCCCAAATGGTGATTTACAAAACAATATGAACTAATTGTTGAAAATATGTAATGATTTTTTTTTTTTTTTTGGTACCAGAGATTGAACTCAGGACCTTACACTTGCAAAGCAGGTGCAGAACAACTGAGTTAAATCCCTGGCCCAAGTAATGATTATTTTTTAAAGAGTGTAGGATACATTCAGTCTAGCTTATTCAATTGCTTAAAAGCTGGTAAACAATGGGGCTGGGAGGATTTAGTTCAGTTGGTTCGACTGCCTGCTTCCCAAATTAGTTCAATCCCCAGTACAAAAACAAAACAAAACTGGTAAACACTTCTTTTAGTTACAAAAGAACAAAGAAACTAAAAAGTATGTGTCCTCTTTTTCTCAGGTTATGATCAAACACCCCCTCAAAAACAAATCAGTATTTGGTCTCAAAATACATCTCCTAGCAACTTCTTAAAACTGTGAGGAACCAGCTTTATTACTGGATTGCCCACTACTCTAAATCCAAGCAGGTAGCAAAATAAATCATGCCAACAAATTCAATTCACAGAAATTATAAATACAAAAAACATTTCTCTTCCAGATAAGTTTTAAATGTCTGCTTGATGAGAATTCCTCTACTGAAAAAGTTAAACACAAATTATTTACTGAATTACTATAAAAGGCCAGGAATTGCATTACTTCCTCATAGCAGCTGTTCCATTTTTTAATATTTTAGACATAATCTACAGTCAATATAAACATGTCTGTGGCCCTTGTTTCATGATCAAAACTAGAAACAAATTTCTAGTTTCACCAATAGTGACAATAGGAAGAAGCTCAGACAATGGCCACAGGGAGCACCCAACTCTTGTCTCTGTGGATCTGCACGTGACCCAGGATATCTGCTCCCCAAGGCCTTGCTGGGAAGGGAAGGGCTGGGGCCATAAAATGAATTAAGATCCCCTTGATGAATGTAATCATTGTGTACTGCAAACAGGTACTAAGAAAAACAATCTAAAAAATGAAACGTGATGTAAGGAGTCAAGGCCCTTTCCTGTAAGCTTCTCATAAAAGCAGAAGAGCTGTCTTTCCTTGTAAATTATTCCAAACCTTTTTCCATCTCAGCACTGACCCTGAGATTGAAGTGCCTTTTTGATTTCTTTTTCTGCCTCTCTGCTAAATAGTTCATACCTATCGAAGGCTTTACGTGTATTAACTCATTTATACTTACAATAACCTTGTGACACATTTCTATTTTACAGATGAAGAAACTGAAACAAAGTCCAATAACTTGGGGCAAACCTAGGATTCAAATCTGGAGATTAATTTCTCAATACAATCTTTATTTTGCAACACTCACCACCATTATACTTTTAACCCAGAAAACATAAGCAATCTTCAGACAATAAAGCTCTCAGGTGTTAGCAATAAATTTGAAACTCAACAGTCCACCTGAAATATTTAGCTTTGGGAATGCTGTTGATTCTGCTACTAACTGGCAACTATGAGATTTAACCCACAAAAAATGTTTTTTGTTGAGACTTTTATAAACCTTTTAAGACTGTTTACAATATAAATTAAGCCCTCCATCTCCTAACCAAGCAAAAAAAAGTGTTCAGATTCCCATTCTGTCACTGCTTTTCTTCATGTATGAAATATCATATATAAGTAATGTTCTATGTAATGACACTTTCATCAGCAACAGGGCCACGATGTCCTGCATATTAAACAGCCTAGTAATATCAAGCTACCTTAACTGATATAAGGTCACTCTGTGATGTTTACACGAGGAAATCACCAAACATGTCAGAATGCTTTCCATCCGTAAGACACACATAAGTGTACATGTAAAGAATTCAGCATAGTGAATGCCTAGAGTTGGGAGTCAGTGTCACCTACATCACTACTAGCAGGATGTGAAATCACCAAGCTCAAATCACGTTCAATACCCTAAATGAGACCCATGAATTCATGTTTACAAAAAACCAAACACTAAAAATGATGCTTTCTGTGAAACAGATTAATTATACACTCTAAATCATGGAAATACAAAAACTAATTGGTAAACATCTAACCTCACAGAATTATCATCCAAAACAAGTACTACACATAAGAATGCTACTAATAAAACTCATTTTCTCTGTCCATGTGACATAAAATAATTTGAAAGTTTAAAAACAGTGTTATACCTTTAAGTGATTGAATACATCCACTTACTGATCTTTTACTGTGGAAATTGAGGCACTATCAGTAAATAACGGCATCACAGACAGGTGTAACAACTTCCCTTTAAGGCTTCTAATTTCTGCTCTGTGGTGGATGTGTTCACGCTGTTGTTAAGGTGGCTACCAAACTCGAGACGTGTTTAATTAGCTCCAGGAGGAAGACACACACTACCCAGCCCTCCTCCTCCTACCAGGGCCTCTGTCATACAGTCAAGATTCCTATTGATGACCATGTGCAGACAAGGAAACTGAGGCAGGAGAGGCTAAACAACGTGCCTAGGGGCCCAGGAATAAGAAACCCGGCAAAAGGCAGACTGCAACCATCTGAGCCTGGGGACAACCCTTGTGGCTTCCCAGGGTGTCTGGCCGGTGGAGACGGGGAACAGCGTGGGACAAATACAGTACCAGTGGGCAACAGGGGCTCCAGCGGGGTAAACTCACGCTCCATGGCGGGTTAGGGGGTCTCTGCATTAAGAAATGAAATACAGCAAAGTTAGAATTCTGAAATCTAATTAAGCGCCGGCTCCATCCGGGCACTGGCGCGGCGTGGCCCCCTCCCGCCGCTC